TTACTAGGAATTCAAAATATATGTGAAAAACATCTCAGTCATACTCGCCTCATTTCCTTTTTTCCTCTCTCTGTGTCTTATTCTATATCTAAACCTCCATGCTAATTGTTCCTCTCAGACTTAACTAAAATACTTAACAAGCGTATGGAGTTGAACACTTAAAATACATTATTTGACAGTTGTTGTCAAAATGCTCCCTCTGTTGCCTGCTCGTTCCTGTCTAAGGTATATACATAACTAAATATTATAGTAGTTATTGCACAAAATTTGTGTGACAGTCAGGAAGTGGGCGCACATGTGTGCACAGAAATCCACCCCAGTTATCATTGATCTTCAACACAGCTAATGGAACCTACTGGTCATCAAGTTTCCTTGGTTGTTGTTGCTTTTTGCTTGAACTATTGTGGAAATGTGGGATACAGATGTCTTCAATAAAGTAATATTATTGACTCAGCTGTTGTTATTAGCTCCCACTTCATTATCCTGGAAATGTTATGCACAATGGATTAAGCAAATATATGCCAGTGTTATTCATTAAAATAAAAAAACCTCTGTGAAAGTGGTTTGTTGGTACTCAAATTCTTTTGCACTGCCGGTAGCAGAGAGTGACAAACAGGTGTGAAGATTAAACAACCTTGTGAGGTTTTCCTTAATAATAGAGATAGAAAGTATATAAGGCTTAGAACTGCTAAGCTGCAAATTGGCAAGAGCCTTTGGAATCAAATTAAATGTCAGGGTGTCAAGGAAAATGGTTAGTGGATTACAGGCACTCATTTGCAGTCCTTCTGTGATTGCTTTTTAAGATGGTTTATTGCAGCTCTGATCCAGACAGTCCCTCTTTGTTTTGGGGAATTCCAAGGTGTGTCCATAGCAGGCAGTGAACACTCTAATCGAGAGCAGGGTGTACGAAAGGGAGGAGGGTGAAGGTGGCAAATGAATGGGCCAGAAGCAGGATTAATCTTGGGATAAGTGGTGCCTGTCTGATGAAGCAGAAAGGGAGCTAGACTCCTAGTCTGGGTGTGGCAGATGCTGGCTGGAGAGGAAGCCTTGAAGAGCCTTCCTGGGGGAAGCAGCCTCAGGTGTAAGCAAGTCATAAGGAGGACTGGCAAATTCAGTAGTTCCCTTCTTAGCTTGCGGCAGGGTTGGAATTAAGGGCGGAGGAGAAATTCGGTTCGCTTTGCTTTTAAACACACACTTAACAAATTCAGCTGCGAACATCTAATTCACACTGTCCAAAACAATATGGGAACCGAAACACGGCCATCTTTCAAAATCTGCACATCGCCAAATCTTGCAATGTAGTTCTCCTGATAAGTAATGTATAAATGTCTTCCTGGGTAAAGTGTGCTTTATAAAAATGCATATGATAACAAATAAATACAAATACGTATGATTGAAAATAACAACAAAACTCATTACAGTAGGGCAAACTCATTTGCAAAAAAATGTGTGCATCGGACAAAATTGCCTAACTGTGTATACTATTGATGCAGAGGAATACAAAGAAGTCTGAACCATTTATTTCCACAGGAGTGAAATGTAAGTAAAAACCCAAGCGCAGCAACACTTCCTGGGCAGGGAACAGAACGCTGCATGTGCTGTGCCTCCTCCAGGTTGGGATTTTGTGCTTGCATTCCTTCCATTCCTTGCCTGAAATGCATCTGCGGGAGACGATGGGTGTGCAGCTGAGCAGGGAACTGTGAAGCTCTCCAGAGATAGCAAGGTAGGAGGGTGGTGCCGGGGCAGGCAGAGGCCTCTGACTCACAGAACACAGCAAGCAAAAAGGTACAAGTTTCAAAAGCGTTTAAAAAAGCAATTTCCCTTCCTGGGGTTTTTCAGGTCCTGACAGGAGAAAAAAACCCTTCAGGGGTTTGCATAGTTCCTGCTTCAGTGTGTCTTTGGCCGTGAAATTTCTTTCCCTGACAGTCAAGTACTCCTGGCAGGAATTAATACTAACCTTAATGGTGCACTAACTGTGGCATGACTGTGTGAACAGAGTAATTGGGTTTTCACTGCAATACAGGTCATCTGTATAGATTTTGGGTATGTTAATGCATCTCTTTTTTTAAAAAAATATATATATTGCAATTTAAAATTTACAGATAAACGCAGTGGCGGAGGAAGCTGCTTGGGCGCCTGGGGCGGTGTGTCCAGGGGTGGGGCGGGCTGCCTATATGGGTGGGGCGAGCCTCCCATAGGGCACATCGCGGGGCCTCCGGAGTCTGCCTGCCTCCTACTGCTCAGCCACCCTACAGCTGGCGGGTGGACTGTTTGGGCAGTGTGGAGCCTGCGTGCGCCCAAGCCACTGCGTCTCTCCCAGGAGAGATGCATGGCTCAGGCATGCTGCAGGCCCTGCAGTGAGTGCTGCCCACCATCTTGTCACTCCCCCAGTGGAGACACCTGGGGCAGACCATACCTACCACACCCCGTTTCCTCTGCCCCTGGATAAATGTCTTCTTTTCCTTAACATTTACCTACATGGTCTACTTATTCTATACATGTTCATATCCTCTGTATAATAATTGACTTCCCCCTGCCCCAATCTTTGTTAAGGGTGCTGGGAATTGTAGCTCTGTGAGGGGAAAGCGATAGTTCCTAGGATTATTTGGGGGGAAACGTGTTTTAAGTTTGTGCTTTAAATGTATGTTGTGATCTTAGCCCAGAGTTGGAAAGAAGATAAAGTCCCTACCAGAGAAGAATGGCAAATCAAACGGTTGGATTATGCCGAAATGGCAAAACTGACCGGAAAGCTCAGAAACCAAGAAGACCAAAACTTTAATAAAGAATGGGAAAAATTATAATTTATCTTGGAGAGCAGTAAACAAATGGAAACATTAGCAGGAGTGCAATGACACTTGTAATATAGCAAGTACTATGGAGACAATGATGTTATATAAAATATAGATTATTGGAAAAGATGCAGTAGAAAAGGTTTAATAATAGGGCCCATGGAGGGAAGGTGCAAAGTCCAGAGATTTGGAGGAATCTGTAAATGTGGATGTGAATGGTTGTATTGTTATAATTATACACTTATAAAATCAAATAAAAAATATTTCCAAAAAGAAGAAGAAGAAGAGTATGTTGTGATCTGACCAGCATTCTCATCCAAGTCACAACCTACATTTTTGGATTTTCCTAAGCTGTGGATAATACAGTAAGTGATAAATACAACACAAAACTGTATGTTGCTAGTGTGTGGATGCACTGAAGCACATTGTGCGGGCAGATTACACACACACACACAATTTTGCTGGGTGCCATCTATCATCCTCTACCTCTGTTTGTTCTTCTCTTGAGGATAATGTAGCCATTTTCTTCCCATCAGCCCAAAGGAAAGGATGCAGCATGCCTGCTTCCACTAATTGCTGCTGAAAGAACATTTAAAGCAAATTTAAAAACAAAAACAACCCCAACACCTGCTGTTTTGTTCAGAACTTCTCCTGCACAAAACAGCTTTGTTAGAAATAAAAATAAAATTGGCCCTAGCAGGTACAGGAGGTGGGAAAGAAAATGGAAAATGCTGTCTCCAAACCCCTTTCCCCTAATTTGCTCTCCCAGACCTGTCTTGACTGTATGCGCTTGTGTGAGATAGACACGTGCTGTTTATGTTCTTCTCTGAGTCACACAGCAGCTTTTTGTGTTGGGCAGGGGTCCTGGAAGTCAAAGGTGCCCCATGCCTCTACCTGCCCTGGCAAGGTGCTCCTTGGCTGTTGACTGTTTATGTGGCAGAGCCAAGAGTGACACATAGTTATATATTTATTTTTAAAGCTGCTCTTTTGCGCAAATCTGGTCAATCGCCATTTTGTCCTCTGCAAAGTATGCTTGAAACCTTGGGCTTCGGTGATAATTTGTTATTGTCCTATTCCATGAAAACATTTTTTAAAAACAACAACGGTGTGTGCACATGGGTAAACAAATACCTGTGTGCATGCCCAAAAGGGGATGGAGACCCGTGATTCTCCAGATGTTGTTGGACTCCAACTCTGATTAGCCCCAGCCAGGAAAGTTGATTGTCGGCGATGATGGGACCTATAGACCTGCAACGTTCTGAGAGCCACAGGTTAGTCACTCCCACTATATAGGAATCAGTGATGAAATGAAAAACAGATAAGAGAGGTACAACCAGTTTCAAAGTCTTCCCACAGACCACAGAGACTCAAAGCTGAGCTTAATAGAAGTTATAGCAATATGATATGGCTTTTACTCTGGACTCAGAAATTCATTCTTTAGAAGATGATTACTGCCTGCTCATATGTATCAGTTCAAAGGACTGGGCATCTGTGTTCCAGTACCAGTCCACTATGATCAATGTTCCTCATGTAGGGCGCCCAGGGCTAAGGCACCTTTTCTTGGTATAGAAGGGGATTTTCAACATATGTAGACACAGTTCTGAACCATTAAAACTAGTAGAGAAGAGGAAACTTAGTAGATCTTGTAAGCTATACCTGCTGAAATCCCCTCTGCTACACACTGATTAAAAGGACATGAAATTTTCCTCTTTTGCATCAGCACACCTTACCTTCATATCAGTGCTGGCATCCAAAGTCAGAGATGTTAGAGCAACAATTTTAGATCAGTAGCAAATGTTCCCGGGCAAGTTCCTTGAGTGGATAACCACCAACCCGATCCAGGCTAATGGATAAGACTAATTTCTGGACCCATTTCAATTGGGGTTTAGGCTACTTCTTGTTGGTTTGAATTTTATCATATGTATTTTGTATGTTTTTTGGGGGGTGTTTTTGTATTGATGTAATTCACCTTGGGATTCATGGTGTAAAGTGATGACTGAAAATGAAATAATCATAATTCATAATGGATATTTGTTTTACATAAAAAACCCTAAGAGTTGGCTGTAGATTTGGTGTAAACCTATTCATAGGGATCCCTCTATTTAAAAAAA